CCCTCCATTTGCTTAAAATATGTATTCTGCTTTTGCTCTTCATAGCGGTTTACATTTCAACAATCTACGATTCTCTATTACAGCCCTATTTTACCAGCCAATGCAGAACGAACTGTCTGCACAGTCCATGCCCACAAGCCCGACTCGGTTTATTCGAACGGCCAGATACGCCAACCTACAAGTGGATGCACAACGTCAGGAGACACAACCACCGACAATGAAACTCAATACTTCGTGTAACACCGCTCCGAATTCACCCTACCCGGAAGCTGTGTCACTTCAAAAGAAAGTACTATCGCCTACAGCTGAATGTAATCACTTCTCGGGAGACGCGAGTGTGACAGACTACGGCGGTCGACAAACACCACTAGATAATGTAAGTTAACCTACGATGGATTTGAAAATAAAAAGTAGCCCGTGTTTCCGAACACGGTAACTGAACCAACAGGTGCATTGTCATGCAAGGTACGGTCCCCACCGGTATCCTTCCTATCAGCCTTCTGCCTTTTGGTCTTAATTGATTGATGTTCTGTCATTTATCAGCTCCGATAGCACAACCTATGCACATACCTAAAGTGTACAGATAATAGGGACGGAGATCTTTATTTATCGAATTAGCATGGTCATGAACGGTGGATTACCCTGGTCATAAAGTCCCCATTTACGGATGACGGAAAGCATACTAACACCTTGGATTGGACTGCGAAAATCAGTACATGAGAATATGCTCGACTACCGAATATGTGCCACCGAAGGAAAAATAGTACACACGTGAATATGTTCGAATTGATCAGTATGCAAACGTGGTGATACTTTTCTGCATTGTATTCCAGGGTAAAAATTGTCGACTAGGTTTCAATGTCTACCAATAAGCACAGCATAGCGTTGCTAAACAAATTAACAACACTTTAACACATTACTTATGAGTAAAACCTTGAGTTTCGATAATAAATATATACTGCAATACAAAACTCATCTCTGAAACCGGTTACCTAAAATTCCAGACCAACGGTAATCTCTTGTTTAAACTCCCTCTTCGGTTTCCGGTCCTCACAGATCGTGCACGAAATAGTCACCCGGTTGCAGACAAATCCACAGCTGCCTCTTGTTGTGATGCCAACCAGCGGGGCCAATGCGACTGCTTCGATAACACAATCCACTTCCTCGGACCCGCCATCACGTAATTCACCAGCCCCGCTGATTTTCCAACTTCCACATCCGGATTCGGCATTCGTGTGTCTGCCGGCCGTGTCCGAACAGATGCCCCGAGTTGTTACTGCACCTAAAAGTGGCACTCTCGTCGTTATCCCGGCCTCTCCGACTCCCGCTGGCGAGGAGGGAAAAACATCACAACCTCAACAACCGCTCGTGTTGACCGGACCGAGACCTGGCTATTTCCTGATGATCACATCCGAAAATCGATTTGATTACGTTCCAATTAATTATCGATCAGAACAGAAACCATGAAAAGTGGGTCGTGGGAGTACACTAGTGGAAATATGACGAAAACCTTCTGGAACATATAAACCGATGCGAAGAAAGGACTAGATAAACATAATCGGATTCAAAAGCCCGGTACGATTGATAACAGTTTAGGCGGTGAACCGAAAATGAGCACAATGCAAAAAAACAACCCGGACACAAACTATTCTGCCTACCTAATCCCAACAGCCATCATACCTCAGTCATTCAAATCGATTAGAAACCGCTGTTTATTTGGTTGTGCCAATGAGTACAGACCGACGATTCCCACCATTACCCAGTAAGCAATATGAAACGACTTGTTATCGAAAAAACCGAGCGAGAGACAAAAAGATCGACAGCCGAATGTAGCATCTCATACAGCAGTTCCGAGCCATTAACCATTCTTCAGTTGCCTATTGTTCCGTCCAATAACTCACTTGCCCGTTCTCAGTGTGGGTTCACTTATCTTTCTCGGTTTCCTCTCTGCCTTGACATTCTCTGCACACGACCCTTCGCTCCGACCCTCTCGAACTATCCGCTGAACTCATTCACTCTCATTTTCTAGCAACTGATCAAATAAAGAAACCTCAACGTACTGCTTGATCAAGTATTGTCTTTTGGTTGTGAAAATGATGAACATGGCTTATATGGCTTATCAACGATTTATGAACAACATGACACTAATAAAATGTAGCAGAAAAAAAACAAGGGATCGTGTTACAAAGAGGGAACAAAGTTAAAAGAAAGAAATACCTCAGAGAACAAAAAGAACTGCAACAGTTTGCTCTTGTTTCACGGTACACTTTTGTTTGTTTGTTTAAACTTTTGAGGCCCAGGATTTAACCAGACACATCGTACAGCATTCTCGCCACAAACTTATATTCTGAGCCTCTAACCTCTATCCCTTAGACCCCAATCTGGAAGGTGATTTGCACCAAATAAAGCTGGGTTCATCATACCTCGACGACAAGTCATGGTCTAATNGCGACGTTCCTCCAACCTTGCCTAGCGCGTGCACAGAGAGCACGGAAAGATGGACAATGGGCAGGCAGGCATGCAAACGTGACCAAGTCGTCAGAGGCGGTGTAGTGTATTTCTTTTAGGGAACGATTGTCAGTATCGAACACACGAAGACGGACCTCATCATCACTCACCCCATGTTCCCACACTAACATCATCAGCTGAAACCAAGCTCCCGAGGTACTTAAAGCTCTAAACTACTTCTAGCTGGTCACTACAAAGAGTGATTGCACTTAAAAGCTCCTACCAGATTTGTACAAGCATTTGCGATTGGACGGCGCAAAGCATATACCAAATCTGGATACCTCAAGCGCTAAGCGGTACAGAGCATGTTGGGCTACCTAGATATTGTCACTCAGTAAGATGGTGTCATTGTCATATTGGAAGGCAAGAACTTTGTTCTGTTTAAGGAGTCTTAGGGTAGAACACACTGTTTGATCGTGACCGGTGAAATACCAGAATGGAGGAGAGTAAACGTGACCACACTTAGCTACAAGTACGTTCGGTACTAATCGCGGTACTGAATTCCGATGTTCGTAAGATATCGGTGATTGTTTTCATCTACTTCATTTTCATCCAAAAACAACTCTGGAGTGATCACTTTCTTACACCCTCGGAATCAGGCAATCCGTTGTTGGAAGAGTAAAAGACCGTAGAACCTGTGCAAAGGTGATCAAAAAATGTTCCAGCAGCCTTCAGGACAAATGTCACAAAAACAAGCTGCACTTACAGCTTGTATGAGACTGGAAGTCAAACATATTGAACAGAATAAGGATTTGTCACAATGCAAATAAGCTTGGTAACTAACACCTTTGCAAACCTGTATTAGGCATCTGCATCGCTGTACAAACTCGGTAATGAATGAACGCCGTTCGCATAACTGATAACCATCTAGTCTTGTCCCAAGGCGGGGATGAAAGACCGGGGAGGGCAGGAAAATGGAAAAGAAAACATGCCAATGAGGTTAATCTTTATGCGACTTCAGTTGGGTGAACAAATTTTGTCTTTGTACTTCGGAAAAATATTCCGTCGGATCCGGTGACATGAAATCCACTGCCTTCGGGAGCCGCAGATAGCGAAGCATTCGTCCTTTGCTCGCACGCACTTCGACTACACGTTTTGGTTTACTGCAACAGAGAGGGAGACGGAAAGAGCGTAGGTGGGGATCGTAGCGACCTACCTAATTACTGTACTAGAGTCGGGCTTTTTGTCTTCCGTTGATTCGTATCTGAAATTTTGTAATAATTAGATGACACCCGTAGAATTCAAACTTACTCAATTCGGACATCTTCACAATTGATCTAAATCAAACATGATGGGAATGACCGATCAGAATGACAAACAGAGAAACAATACCGATTCGTCACTTGAAACTTCCTCGTCCATTTGAAAAATGGCGGAAAAACGGAAGAGGTTGATAAGGGTTATCGGTTTCCCTTAGAGCAAACAAACAGAACTGAAACAGGAGAAAACACGCATTATTATCTAGTCAATGTCCCCAAAAGAAAAGAATGATAATAATTCATGAAAAGATAAAACCTTAGATCGTTAATAGCAGGCGTGTAACAAAGAGAAGATACTTTGCATGATTGGATAAAGTAATACACAA